GTGCTCCTGAGTGTCAGGGCTGTCAGAGACCGGGAACCAGCCCAGCCAGAGCTTCCTCAGGAGCTTGGGGGCCCACTCGCCGGGCCTTTCCTCCTGGCTCTGCACCCCAGAGGCCCCTACAAACATAAGGAGGCAGGCCCTGCAGGTCGCCTGCCGGAGGAACCTTCCTCAGGGCCAGGGCAGCGCGATCTGATGGGGCAGCACTGACACCAGGGTTCCTCCCATCCACGTCCCTGGGGAGTGGGCTGAGGAGGCTCCTTCGGGGCTCCCTGGCCTTCCCTCCCTGGGCCAGGAGGGTGTGGGCTCCCTGGGGGCTCCTCGGGGTCACAGAGGGGAGGGAGGGAGGCGGGGTGGGCTGGGCTCTCTTACCAGAAGGAGGTAGAGCCAGCTCCTTTGGGACCTTCTTATCTCCCTGGGAAAGAAGGGCATGGTGGGATGAGACAGGCTCTACAGTGTAGATGGGGAAACTGAGGCCTCGCTACACGGGAAGTCAGGGAGGCCAGGACTCACACCGCCTCTGCTCCCCTCAGCTCCACAGAGAGCTGCTCTACTGAGATGCAGTTTGGCCCCGTCATGTTGGGGGTGCCCCAGCCCCCTCTCCATCCCCACAGCCTGCGCACCGCCCGGCACTGCTTGGGGCACCAGGCCTCCTTACCTCCCAGCCTGGGCTCCCTGCCACCTCCTTCTCCTCAGCCACTTCCTTCCCAGCAGGAGTGGGGCTGGCTGCTCCCTGGCCTGGGACCCTCCCCTCCCCGTCCCGGTCTTTCTCCCCCTGAGACAGGATGTCCGTCTCCTTGGGGGCAGCATCATTCAGTCCTCCCGGAGTCTCAGGGGCTGTGGCCTGCCAGGAGAGAAGTGGGCATCACACAGGCCCGGAGGCCCCCAGTACGCCTCAGCCCTCCCATTTCCCCCACTTGGGGTGCGTACAGTTCATTCTTTCTCCAGGGAAGTCCTTCCCTATCAGCTCCAGAGGTGGGGTGGCGGGGCTGTGTTTCCTGGAGGGACCCTGCCCCCACCCCTGGGCCTGCAGGCCCTGAGCCAGGCACCCCTGGGCCTCATGGAGCTGATGGGAGAGCCCCGCCCGGGCCCTTCCAGGGAGGCCTCTTACCTTGGAGGCCTGC